GGTGCGCCCGGGCAGCCTGAGCCGCGCGCCGCGTCGCTGTAATCGGACACCCAGCGCTCGCCCCCGGCGCCCGGCCACTTGCCATTCACTCCGAGGTGCGGAGTTGAGCGACGTGGAGGAAAAGGGCTCCGGGTGCCGCGGCTCTCCCGCCCGGGATTCTTCTACAAAGAAACTCAGCATCAGGCAGCAAGAAACCAGCCCTCGGGACTCTTAAGTCACTGAAGGTCTTCTGGCGGAAGGACCTGGGGGACTGGGACGCAGGCTGGAACAAGTGGCTGACTTCTCGTGGATCTCTTCCCACCTCGGTAAGCCGGACTCAGGTTTTCAGTCTTGTTCCTTTAGCGAAAACCGAACTTTTCTGGGTCTGTGTACTGACTTTTTTTCATCGCTGTGCTCAAGTCTGGGCATTTTCTTAGGAGCCCACGCGGCTTGGGAGGAAAGCGCTCTGGAGCTGAGCCTGGCTGGAGGTTGTGGCACCTGCCAAGAGTTTAACTTGGGTGTTCCAACGCCTTCTAAGGACAAAAATCGGTGGAAATGGCATAAAATTGTCCTTCTGGTCTCATATCTGCTGGTAGGAGAGGACCAAGCACCAGCAAGCACATTTAACTGTGTGAGTTAAAGGAACCAAGTTATAAAGCACTTAGGTGGGTAGATGGAAAGAGACATTCAGCATTCTTGCCCATCGGTAGGTGGGATTGAAACCAGGTTGTTCTGTTAGATAGATCAACTCTACCTGATCTACCAAGCCATCTAGACAGTATTATGCTTTGCAGTTTATGGAGTATGTCTTCCCTAGGGGACACATATCAAATTATATACCGGTAATAGCAATATGTAAAAAGGTACGCGTTTCTAACCTGACTAATCGACAGACTAAGGCTGGACATATTAATAGTACTCTCCTCCCCCTGGCTTTACCTACTAAGTCAACAAGTCCCGGGGGAAAACTGCTAAGGGAAAGTCACCCAGAAAAATCAATTTCCTTCTGAGTTAATTTAGGGATGGCAGGGTGAAGAGGTTGTGGAAGCAGGAAGAAGCTGTGTCTTTTGAAAATTACCAACACAAACATCTCTAGGGGTTCCTCCGTCTGTGCGGCAGAGGCATAGAGTTTCACGACTAACTCTTGCAGCATATGGGCCACCAATGAGGCCAGCTTAGATACTTGTTGGAGACGGCATACTCGGTTGAATTGTCCTTTTCCTTGTGCATCTATGAAAAGAGCCAGAGCCGTTTCGATTTTTAACTGCACTTCCTTATTGAATAGAATCAATAACGTAGTTTCCATTTAAAAAGCCATATAACATGAGATCTGTAAAGATGCACTTCCAGATTAAACGTGCTTGTCATTTTACTGTGCAATAACACTAGAGGAGAAGTAATGGGTTTCTTTCATGAGCCTGAGCTCACTGGCATGGTGAGGCCAGTGGGGGCACATAGAGGTTTACTCTAGCAGTGCCTGGTCTCTCTTTGTGTTTAGACATTAGTTAATAGCTTATATTAATTTTATAGGTACAATTTCCAGCAAGAATAATGACTCTTTGATTTATTGTTTGGGACTTTGACAGTCCACTCTCTGGCTGATTTATGTAAAATATGCATTGGTGGATATGAGACTCCCGTGGATTACTCACCACTAGGTCATTGGTTTAAATTTGGCATGCGTCCATGGTTACCTCATCTGCATCATTTAACCACTGCCTGGTCATCCGAATGCATTGGCAGATAAGTGAATGGAAGTGATTTACTAATCCGGGACACAGGCGCACAGGTAGATTTATGTATGGAAACACTGTTTCAGAGACAATTAATCCAGAAAAGTTAATGAGCATGGGATGAGTGGGTACCCATGAATGGGAATGAGGTCTGTCTCCACTACTGTATTTATTAGGGAGAGTTTTTTTTTTTTTTTATTCATCAATGCTCAATCATTAAAATGGAACTGATCTTAGAGAGCTCCGCTATTGGGTTTCTTTGGAGGAATCAATTAAGTTCTCCCCTTGATGCTTTGTTCTGCTTTGATGTCAGCGTTAGTTTTGTTCGGAAGATAGAGCAATTTGTTGTTGCAAAGATTGTGCATAGATAAATCCCAATGCTTCCATTGAGAAGCAAAGTCATAGCACCTCCTACTGCTTGCTGGCTGTAGACCTGAAGCTGTGTTTCCCAAAGTCACTGCACTGGCTATGTTTCTGTCTTTCTGGTTTGCCAGAAAGTGAAGTGACATTTCACAAATCTCTCATCTCTCTTTTAAAGGTATTTTCCCTTGGACATTCATTTTCAAATCAGAAGAAATGGCATTCCGGGCGATTTGCATGTTGGTTGGAGTATTTATTTGTTCTGCTTCTGTCAGAGGATCTTCCCAGCCCCAAGCAAGAGTTTATTTAACATTTGATGGTAAGAAATTTGATCAAACTTATGAAAAATGTTTTTAAGGTCTTGTTTTTTTCTTTCTTATCTGAGTGAAAAATTAGCATATTGAAGAAAATGCAATATCCTTGTTTAGTTCTGAAAGTGTTATAGACAACTTTTTGAATGGCATGATTATTTATGAACAATTAATGATTGCACTGGAGGGAATGTTGATGAAAATGCTTGGTGTGTTTGCTACCATTTTTCCCTTAAGTTTCTTCTGGGTTGGGTGTATATTCCTGGGAGATAAAAAAGAGCTCTGTGTCAGCTGACTGTGCTGGGGAGCATCTTGTTCATGCCAAACTTCAGGATTAGAAAGGGCTACATGGCTTTAGTCACTATAACAACTCCAGTAAGTTCCAGTATTTTCCCCCAATTTCCAAAGTATTTCCCGTGGTTGATATGTTTTTCTAATAAAGTACAAATGACCTAAAACTATTAAGGACAATTCATTGTTTATTATTGTATAAAGTATGGTTTTCTCACGCTTAGAGATGTTATGGTTTCAAATTTTGATTTATATAAAGTGCCATCAGGTCCTCGGAGGGTGTGGCTATCAAATGTGTCCATGAGACTAATGTATACTGCTCACATCACTGCTAGGTGAGTGGCTGGGTCAGTCATGCAACCCTTATTACAGGACAGATGAAATAAAGGCATCATCTTGCTTCAGGACCATTTGTGTGCATATTATGTTTCGAATTTTTACATGAACTCTGGCGACAAGTGCTTGTTACTTTTGATAATGAATGTACTCTAAGACATTCGCGTAGGAATTGAAACTAGTACATTGGTTAACACTTATCTGCCCTTCCTTTCTCTTTAAGTGCTTTCCCCAAGGATACCATAAACACTGAAGAAACCATGCTTAGAGGTTATTAAGTGTGAGCTTCTAATTGTGCCCTTAACCTTTGGGCCTGGTATTTCCCCTTAAAACCATAGCCATGCTGCTTAGAGGTGAAAAATTAGGGGGCGAGTAGATACAGTGACTGCTCTGAAATGCTTCTCCTTCTCTTAAATTACAAAAGTGTTTGAAGGTTGCTCTCACTTTGTCTCCCGAATTAAGAATATTAAATCAGAACAAGAAAGAAAAATGAACAAAAGTAAACCTTTAGGAAAGTTTTTTTTTTTTTTTTGGTACTGTGTAAGGAAGTGAAGTGGCCCCATAGACCAGATATCTAAGTCTAGCCCGTTCTGTTGCCTCAATATGAACCCAGATTTTCTACATTAATGCTTCCAACAAGTGGTTAGTTACTTAGGATAATTCAGTAAACCTATCTTTGAGAGGACATTTGAAATTTATGTTTTCCCAAAGAAGTCCCGTCTTTTAGCACTAAGTGTCAGTACTATGGAGGAAAGCGGTTGTTGAGCCTGTAGAGTGGAAGTTATAGACTTTTATAGTACTCTGTGTCTAGTGCTTAAATGTTCTCAAATCAAAACAGATCCACAAAGAACAGACTGCCCTCATGTGTGAATTATGTAGACTGTGACGTGATAAAATAATCTCCCGATTGATAGTTCCTGACATTTGTTCTTCCCACAATTCCTAGTACCCAGCCGTTAGAATATGATTCATCACAGAGCCATCTCTGTAACTCCAATGCTGAATTACTAAGGTGCACCCACACGAATAATTTATAATAAATTCTTAATTTTTAAGTTAATAATTAGACATTTCTACAAAAGAGTATCATATATTAGTCAATATTATTATGAAAAATTAAATGAGAAAAAGTAGTTAAAAATATTTTTCAATAATTAATTCAAGATCATATCATTAAGGTATTTTATCATTTGCCTGTTTAACATGGATAAATTTCTTATTATTTAAAATTTCCAGAACAGGTTGCTACGTTTCCTCCAGAACTTTATTTTTCTGTACTTTTTGGGACATTGCCTAAGTCTGTGGTTTAAGAGGCCTTGGAACCCACTGTGTAGCCCAGGCTAGCCTTGAAGTTCTGACAGTTCTCCTGTTGTAACCTTTTGAATATTGTGATTTCAGCCTTGAGTTACCACCTCAACCTAAAAAATTTATTCTTAACTTCTAAATAAAAAGCTGTGCACAGGGTTTCTGGAAACATGATTGCGTATTTGTTTAAACAAGATCCGGGACTTATTTTATTTTCAAATTTGGGCCGTTTCTGAGCCTAGAATGGGAATTTGAAGGCATTGGGGGGAATTCTTATTGCATCGGAGGTCAGTTGCTTCCCGGGTCTCATGTCTCTGCCTCTGCCTGCCTCTCCTTAGTACCTTGCCTGCTTGTTCTTTTGTCTTGAAGCCTCCCTCACTGAATCGGGGTCTCCCTCTGTCTCTTTATGTGTAGAACGTTATTAAAGCTGTTCAGACTTGTCTTACGTGAAGTCCAAGTAAACAGCGCTGTCAGTGCAAAGGTGTGTGAAAAAGAAGAACCTTTGCCTCCCACATTCCACCCCCAATGGGGTGAAAGCATTCGGGAAACAGCGATTTATCTTTCCACGCTGATCTAGTACAAGGTCAAGCAGGTGGCGGTCAACTCTCCCTGGGAATGTTCCTCAGATGATATTAGGGAGTCACATTCCTGAATTTTTCATATTATAAATTGGAGACTGCTATTGGATATTTTGCAAGTTTTATCATTCTTATTTTATCCCAAATAGTTTTCAAACAAATAGAGAGTTTGTATCGATGCTATTTGGATTAAGTATTTTCTGCCTTAAAGTCAGTAGATGTACAGACTCAGATGTCAATGCACTATTTACCTTGATTTTTTTCCCACATAAAAAACTGGAATCTATAAGGGTTGTAAAGAAACATATGGGTAACTATGTACAAGGAGAAAGACATGTTTTATTAGCTCGTATACTAGGCAAAGCCTTTTTGAAAAGTTTCGTGTTCCCCACAGATATTGTAACATATACTGTTTCATGTACTGCCTTTTAGGATCAGGGATCAGTGCTCTGTGATTGGATAAAATAAGTCAGTGGTCTGTCCAAGTTTACTAAAATGTTTCTGCACTTCAGAAAATGTTAGCAATATTGAATCTATATGAAATCCAATTGTGGTATTAAACACTTTAAATATTGCTTCTCTTTTAAAATGTAAAAAATTCTTAAAAATAGTATTTCCCACTCCCAAGGTCCCCACGCTCCCAACTTTATGCAGGGGATCTTGTCTTTTCTTCTTCCCATGTAGATTAGATCTATGTATGTCTCTCTTATGTCTCACTGCTGTCTAGGTTCTCTGGGATTGTGATTCATGGGCTGGTTTTCTTTGCTTTTTTAGCTGACTGCTCAGATTGTGACCGTTAAATATTCTGCTTACTGAAATAGACTTATTCATCAAACATTCTTTTTCTTTTTCCTAATTCTGTGGGGTCTGTAGTAATTTCTCTATTTCATTTCTGAGACCAGCATTGTGTATCTACCCCTTTATATCTTAGTCATTCTTATTAGTGAATCATCTAAACTTAGCAAGCTCTTAGATACTCATATTTTTTCATCCCCCCCTGTTTTCTATTATATATCCATTAACTTATGTATTAAAATTCTGTTACCTAATTTAGTTTTACTTGATGTTCAATAAATTTTTCCACTGGAAAGTTACTTGAATGAAAGCTTAGTTAATGAGTTTTGGCCCTTTTTTTAATAATATAATTATTCATGCTATAGATTTTCCTCTACTTCCTTTCTGGTTGTCCTGCCTATACTTCCTGCCTGGCTACTGGCCAATAAGCATTTTTAAAAAATGTAATTAGCAGAATACCGACCACTGTCCCACACCAAAAATGTAAAAGCATGAGGACATATATTTAAATAGGCGTATAGGTAAATAGGTGTATAGGTAAATAGGCATATGTGGCTAAGGGTTATCATAGTGAGAACTAGATTTTCCTAGGATAAAGACTATCTAGTTTTATATTTTTGATCCATAACTATGATTCTTTTGCAGGACCTTAGTTTCCCTAATCACTTAAAGATAACTGGGACCAAATGGTCTCCTTATTCTTTTTAACATTCTGAAATGAAATTTATGTTTAGTTTCTATATTATGAAGTTCGGTGGGTTTTTTTGTCTGGTTTTGTTTTCTGTTTGAGGAAGTCAATAATAACTAGCAATGTCTTCAAGAATATTTTATATATAGGAGCTTGATTGAGAGGAAGAAAAAAGTAAATGGTATTAAAAAATCCATCTGCTTTGCTTGTTTGATATTTTCTAAGTGTAGTATATTGGGAAGCTATTTTATTCCTTAATCCAGATGTTATAAATACCCTCTCAGACAAAGATAGCACATATTTTATTACTTAATCCAGATGTTATAAATACCCTGTCGGACAAAGATGGTATACACTTTATGAGCGCTCTGGAAATTAAATGAATTATGTTTTTTGAGTACAGTCTGTAATGTATATGTTTTAATACTTGAGTGCTTGTGTGATAATTAGCACTTGTAAATTTCTTTAATTTGGAAATGTGCCATCCTAACATCATTTAACATCACATAACATCATTTATTTTATGATGGCCTATTTTCTACTTGCCCTAGAGCAGCAGTTCTCAACCTTGCTGATGCAATGACCCTGTAATACAGCTCCTTCTTCACATTGTGGTGACCCTAACCACAAAGTTATTTTCATTGTTACTTCATAACTGTAATTTTGCTACTGTTATGAATTGTAATACAAGTTTCTATGTTTTCTGATGGTCTTGGGCAACCCCTGTGACCCACAGGATGAGAACCACTGCTCTAGAAACTGACATTCCTGGTTACTTCATACATTTTGAATTAAAATGAGTTTTGATATCTCTCCACTCTCCACTTCCTTAGATATAATAACCTCCTTAAAAATGAAAAATCCCACACAGAATGCAGCAGATTCTCACTTATCTGTCACTCTAGCAGAACAGAAGTAGCACAGAGAGCTTTATCACTTTGTAGACACCGTGGACTCATTGCTTGAAACACAGCTAGGTACTGATGTTTGAAAAATCTATCAATCCCGATCTTCT